ACTGGAAAAAAGAATTTTTGAAAAACTCAGAGCACAGTTTTTAAGCAGTCTCTCTGAATGGTATGTGTAGGCTATGCTAGCTCTCAGATAGTATGGAACTTTGTACCCACAGTCGCTATAATATCAGCATAGGGAGCGCACTGTGTAAGCTCAATCGCCAGCTGTTTCTTTAGAACAAGGAAGCTGTAAAACTTGGCTGAAACTTGTTTCCGGTCATTGTTCCTACAGAGCTCCAAAAAACTGACAGAACTCACTCCTGATTTGTTGATGTACTGTATAGAAAAAGAAATGGAAAAATATAGTTAGGTCAGTTTAACTGCTAATAAAACTAGATCCCATGGTGTTGGAACCAAGGTACTGATTTTACAAACATTTTTGCACGGGAGTAAATATTTACAGGATTGAGGCCTTAAGATGGTTTCTTATCTGTATGTTTTAATGTATGTAATTTTCCTAAAGTTATTTATAAATTTTACAGTGTTGCCAACTCTTACAATTTTATCACAAGTCTCACAATATTTTGTGTTTTCTTAACCCCCCTCCCCCCACTTCTGGAATCAAGAGATTGCATGGGAATCTAAGCTTTCGTTTAAAAAAAAATTCTAGCCTTTGTGGTTGTGCAGAAAAGCTTGAAAAGATAAAGCAAGTGAATCCTAACGGGGCCAAAATGCAAAAGGCAAACAAAAAGAACCTAACATTTATTTAAAAATCTCATCATTTTGGGGGGTCTGAGTCACGGTTTTTGGATGGTTGGAGTTGGCAATACTGTTGATGATACAAGATGCAATGTATCCCATAAAAATCTACTTAGGCCTTGATCCTGCAAAACGTTACATGTCTATTTACAGTACAAGTCATTAGTTCCATTTAATTCAATGGGACTACTCAGATCCATAAAAACAATCACACGTGTAAGGCTTTGCAGAATTGCCAGTCCTTATATTATAATTTACTGTGGCTTTTGCTATCTTCCCTACTAAGTACAGCAACTACCATTAAAAATACAGTAAAGTCTATCACAACTTGGTAAATGTTTGTGTGATTTTTGTAAATGGCCATGTGTGACTATATAAACATACACACATGTATCACACCGGATATGTGTGCACACACACACACACACACACACACACACACACACACACGTATATCACACACAAAAACTATGTTAAAAGAAGCTTATTAAGGTTGCAAAATCAAGCACTCCAAAGTTAGGAAATGCTAGAATTAAAGTTGCCTGTACCCCCCTTGTATGTTTGCATTATGATACATTCTTTAATTCTAGGATCACTTACTATTTTTTTCACAGAATCCCTGCCTCATTCAGTGCACAGAATAGTCTACGCTCAATTAATGCACAGTCTATTCAATATTTTGTTTTCTCCTAATTGTTCAATGTGTGTCCCATGCCTTATTTACCACACATTATTCAAATCTTGTTCTGAAGAGAAAATTATTAATTTTCTCATGGGTTTTTCTATAGTACTCATCACTATAGCATCAAGAGAGTGAAGCTTTATAAGGGGGTCTTGCCCCCTGTACCACTTCAGTTCCTTCCACTGCTAACCCAGAGAAACCATAATAAGACTTTGAGAAAGAGGGGATGGTGGGTGGGAACTGTGAATATGCAGTCATCTCACAGAACTCTGGTTACAAGGAAGTAACCTTCATTTCTTCTTCGAGTGGTTCTGCATATTCCCAATTATGTGCAGTGCTGAAAACTCAGGAGGTTGGAACAGAGTCCTGATTAAATAATGACTGAAGCACTGACTCCAGGAGTGGTGGAAGCTCTCTCAAAGGAGGGGGGGGCACCAGCACCCGAACCGTGACCCCAGCTCCCTTGCCACCCCTTCTCCCTGAGACCCTGCCCCCACTCCGCCTGTTCTCCCAAGGCCACCGTATGTAGGTTCAATATGGATGCCATGCAATCCACCAGGTCGTAGAACTGAAAAGTATCCTCAGAAGGGGAAGAACCAGAAAGCACACCCACATGTTCATCAGTTGACATCAGCCCATCAGGTGACATCAAAGTCAGTATCCATTTGTTCTTGTTCAAAAAGAGGAGCTATCTCCTCGTCCTTCTCTTCAGATAGTGTATCAGGTACCATTGCCTGAGCTGCCAATGGATCTGGTTCAACTAGATCCAATGATTGCTGAGACACTGGATCCTTAGCAGATGAAACATCACCTCTCCATCCATAAGGAGGCTGATTCAGAAATTCCTGCAGTGCAATGCAACGGGGCCATGGAGACTAGGACTGCCAATCTCTCCAACAGATGGGATCCGGAAACACACCATAGGAGGAGAAGCAAAGGAGTGAGGGAACCCAGGCTGAGGAGGCATGAACTGGGATGAATCAGGTGTCTTAATTCTTTCTTTCCTCCTCTAAATGAGGATACTACCTCAGAACCACTATGGATCATACCAGAGACAACAACAGAACCAGAAGGCAAAGAGAAATAAAAGGTGAGAAAGATCTGCCAGAGGATCTTGCAGGAGTCTTAGGAAGAGGATGCATTGATGGATCTGGAGAAAGAATATCTCCTCTGCTGTTCTCTTTCCTGGTGAAGAAGACATGGACCATGGAATGAATGACACCCGTCTCTTCTTCATCGTCCTCTGCCTCTCAGTTGGATCTGATGAGTGATGAGAAGCAGGAAGGTGCACATCACACACCACTGTAAAAGTCCTCTTCAGGTCTGAGGACAGTCTCTGAACAGAAGCAGAGGATGGAGCCTGTCCCACAAACTTAAGTACCAGATCCAAGTTTGAAGTTGAACCCAGAACCAACTAGAGTTGCAGAGTCCGAACCACAAACGCCATGTCAGACTTGGATGGAGCTGGTAAATCTGACGTACAGAATCTGGCATTGCTAACACTGGCTGTCTTCTCACTTGTCTTCTTCCTCAGAACAGGTAAGGCTGGAGCCAACCATGTGGCTCCAGGATCCTCAGCAGGAAGATGGCCTTCTAACACCAGTGGTGCCTTCGAAGCCCTGCAGCTTTAACAGAAGGATCCAGAGACCGAACTATTGAAGACCCCAATGTCCTGGGAACCTTTAAGCAGCGTAGTCTTGCTGGAGGAAGCCTCAGGATCTGAAACTGATCTCTTAGGCTTCAGATCTGATGACCATCTAGAACCAGAGGATTTAGCAGCTAAATCCTCCATAAGCAGAAGCACCTTCAGTCTATTCTATCTGTCTTTGCATGCTCTGGACATGAAATCCTGGCAAATGGAACACCCAGAAGGAGAATTATCTTCAACCCAGCACTTCAGACATCTAATGTGGTCATCCAATGCCAGGAAGACAGCTGGGCACAAAGTACATCTCTTAAATCCCAGCTTCTTCTTCTTCTACTGTTCCCCCATATCATGGAACTGAACCTACCAACTCTCCTTAACTATCTACACTTATTACTTAACTACACTGCACACTAAGAACAACAACTAAAACTATCAAAGGCGGAAAACCCCTGGATCTGAATGGACTGGAATGGTTCACTTCTGTCTGCTGCAGCAACTGGAAGGAACTGAGGTGATAGAGTGCAGTGCCCCCTTACATAGTCTTCCCCTCAGAACATTCAAAAGCACTGAGGGGAAGGCTGGGGCGGAGGGGTGGTGGTGAACATGCGCTGTAATAGGCAGTGCTTGGAGAAGGTTCTACTGTTAGGTACCACCAGGTGGGGCAATGTTCATAAGTGGGAATATGCAGAGCCATTTGAAGAACTATTAATTCTTTACCCCAATCTCTCAGACCCAGTCTCCCCACAGCCATCTCCCAGGCATGGTCTCATTCCTCTGTTTTCTATTCCTCCCAGGCTCCTCCACC